AAACTAATATAGTTATATTAATATCAGACAAAATAGAAAAAGAATCGTTACTAGGAATAAGGAGGTCATTATCCATTGATGAAAGATTCAATCTGCTAAGAAGACATCAATTCTAAGTTTAAATAGACTTAATAACATACCCTGAAAATAGTTATAGCAGAAACTGATAGAAATACAAGGTGAAGTTAGCATCATGAACCCTCTCTCAATCAGAAAAAATTCATTCAAGATCTAAATAACTAACAAGCTTAACATAATAGATATATATACAGAATCCTGTACCAATATTAATATACATCTATTTTCCACCTCACATCAAACATTTGTGAAGATTGACTACATACTAAGTCATAATACAAAACTTCAAAGTATTAGTATTATACAGACCCCATTCACTGAACACACGTTAAAAAGTTAAAAAAAACAAAAAGATAACTTGCAAAATCCATGAGTTGGAAATGTTAAATATCTGATGAGAAAAAGATGAAATCACAGTGGCATTTAGGAAAAAAACAGGCGATGAATTCCTTAAATGCCCATTTTATATCACATTTGAAAAACCATACAGCCAACACACTCCGAATCCATTGATGGGAGATTCTGGTGTCTTCTTAAATGGTAGCCATTTTGGAAGATGCTAATTTGAGACAGTAATAAGGGAATAAGATGATAGGCTAGTAACGCATTTTGGGTAAAGCCAGTATAAATTCTAAGTTAATCAAAAAATTAGCAACATTTATTTCCACTTTCACTGTTTTTTTTGTTATGTAAGAAAAATAACTATGATGTAAAGAAATAGGATTTATGTCGATTTCTCTCAGCCCATCAGCAGTCCTGACTGAGTGCTGATTCTGCAGTTTACCTCCATTTTCAACACCTGGCAAATCCCAGAGGGGTATTAAAGGAATAGGATGACCAGTCTTAAAAACGAAAGATTAAACCAGAGTCTAACAAATCACTTTGCCATCTCAGCAAGTATTTTCAGTATAACAAACATAGAATCAATTGACAAAATAAACCTATTAAGATATTTAATATCAGCCAAGAAATTTAATATCAGCATAAGCAAGAGAATTATCCACACATGGCATGTTTGAAGCAAAGTTGAAGTCTAAGGAATGCCTGTAAAACGATTAATGCAATATGTGAGCCCAATACAGAACTCATAATCATCACGTTTTATCCTGGAATGACAACTTACAAGCCACAGCTAAGCAATTTGTTCTGTGACACTTAGAGAGAAAACTGACTCTCTTCCAGTGGGGACATGCCTCAACTATCTCAATTTCTCTATCATCCAAAAAGAAAACAGCTGTGGTTCCCCCACGCCACTCCTAGATGTGAACGTAAAAATATACAATTAGCTTACTCCTAAATCTCGAAATAGAATTATCTTAAGTAGCAGCCGTTTGTAGAATACCCTCGTATGCTAGCCCACTGTACACACCTGCCTTTCCCAACAATTCCAAGGGAAGCTATGTGAATTGTCTTTTTAGATTTGTTTGCATTTATCTTAACACCTGCAATGGACATTTTAGAACACCAGTGAGATCAACATGGCTCCTTCCCACTAAGTCTTAAGCGGGATAACACTGTACTTAATCTGAATAGCCGGTACCTCTTGTTTTCTAATACTGAAAACTACCCAGAGCATTTCTTTACGGCATCACCAATAAATGATACCACTGTACAGTTGTTTAAATCAGAAACCTGAGAGTACGACTGCTATGTTTAGCAAGTAAAAATATAGGACACCTAGTTAAACTGGAATTTCAAATAAATTACAAACATTTTTTAGTATAAGTACATACCAAATATCACATGGGACATACTTATATAAAAGGTTACTCACTGTTCATCTGAAATTCAAGTTTAACTGGGCATCCTGTATTTTATCTGAGAACTCTAAGCTGGGATTCTTCCTCTATTACCTTCTACATGCGGTCCACTCCGCCAAGACCTATCAATGCTACTTCCTAAAAACATCTAAAATCCATCCACATGGGCTTCCCTGGTGGCGCAGTGGTTAAGAATCCGCATGCCGATGCAGGGGACACGGTTCGAGCCCTGGTCCAGGAAGATCCCACATGGCGCGGAGCAACTAAGCCCGTGCGCCACAACTACTGAGCCTGCGCTCTAGAGCCCACGTGCCACAACTACTGAAGCCCGCGCGCCTGGAGCCCGTGCTCTGCAACAAGAAGCCACCGCCATGAGAAGCCCGCGCACCACAACAAAGAGTAGCCCCCGCTCGCCACAACTAGAGAAAACCCGTGTGCAGCAACGAAGACCCAACACAGCCAAAAATAAATAAATAAATAAAAAATAAAAATAAAATCCATCCATTTTTCTCCATTTCTTCTGCCACCACCTTGGTCTAAGCCACCAATCTAAGCATCTCCCAACAGCCTCTCTGCTTCTACTTTTGTAGAAATATCACTTATTCTAAATATATCAGCATTTATTTCTCTTAGTGTGAAGCTGATGCTAACTTCAAGTTTCTCCTTTCTGGATCATTATTGGGTAGCAGTAGAAATCTCAAATCTCTAAAGCAGCGCGACAGGGACCAATGAAACTGCAACTCTGAAGAGGTGAGGCTTTCATGGTGACCTCTGAAACAGTTCCAAGGAAAGTAACAGTTCTCTTGGGTATGCCGCAGTCAATGACCTGTCAATCATTTTGCTAAATGGTGTTTATTGCCACAAAGAGATAAGCTAGGGGAAAAAAACCTGTGCAGCCAAGGTAAATTTGGGGCTCAATAAAGTTGGTTTAAAATACTCATCTTGGGACTTCCCTGGTGGTCCAGGGGTTAAGAATCCATCTTGCAATGCAGGGGACGTGAGTTCGATCCCTGGTCAGGAAACTAAGATCCCACATGCCGCGGTGCTACTGAGCCCTTGCACTACAACAAGAGAGCCCATGCGCCTTAACTACAGAGCTCATGCACTCCGGAGCCCACACGCCACAACTAGAGAGAAGCCCGCGCGCTGCAACAAAGAGCCCACTGCAATGAAAGATCCCATGTGCTGCAACTAAGACCCAATGCAGCAAAAAAAAAAAAAACAAAAAAAAACCACCAAATAAATATTTTAAAATAAAATAAAATACTCTTGTCTTTCAGAGAGAATTCTAAGATTTAGAAAAAGACCGCTTGATTGTGAGACAGAGACATATTCTTGTCATTTAAACTGCTATATTCTAGGGACACCATCCTGGTTAGTGTACCTATCAACACAAGGTTGCAAAGCCGGGGGCAGGGCATTAGAGAACTGGGGCAGTCAGGAAGTAGGATTCAAATAAAAATACGTGGCACTGACTTTTTCCGATTACCGATGCTCAAGAACAGTTGCTGCCTCCTGACTGATGAATAATTATTTCGTTGTGAGAGCGACAGTCATCCCCGAGGGCTGCTAGCCTGTCACGCTGCCCGATCAATGGACACCAACAAAGCAGCTTACACACAGAAATGCCAGGGCAGACTTTAAGATTGGTGTGACGCTGCAGAGCTGTACAAGCTAACCAAATTAAACACAAATTACTGTGGTAGAAATAATTGGCAGGTCTAAAGAAAGCAGGATTCCCTGTATATCAAAGAAGCCATAGAATTGTTACAAATGACTCCTAGATCATAGAACATGATGGCAATTCAAGTGTTTCAAAGTTCTTATGTAAATGTGAACATTCATCTATTTAATACAGAATACCAAGTCTTAATGTTGTTGGTACTGAACAAAGAAACTATTCACGCTCTCTCCACATGAAACAAGCATTACAAACGAAGTCCCAAAAGCCTCTTACAAGAGTGAGTTACTTTATTCAGGATCCAGTTATCACTACTCAATAAACAAGCCTGTCTGTGGATAAAGCCTAATCACGCTACCAAAATCGTTCTCGGAAGCCCTATCCAAGATACGTGTTTTTGGTATATCTTCTTCTCTACAGTGGAAAATGAAATTCCAGGCTATGGATATCCTGGCAGAGGCCAACATTACAGGTGAGAAAAGGGTATGAATGTTTGCACCGGGGTCCAGTCAATCCCCATACAAAGAAGTGTGGGCGCTGCAAGATCGCACAAGCCTTAAAGTCTGCACTTGTTATCTCATGTACAATCTGCTTCGTTGGTCCCCACTGATCACACAACACCAGGGCAGGCTAGCAGCACTCCGAGATAACTGGCTCCCACATCCAAAACACTCTGTGTAAAATGACTCATTCCCAGCTCCTTTTGGCACCTGGGACCACAGACCCAAGGACCAGCAAGCTGTCTCACTAGAGATGCACTGGAAGTCTACTTAGAAGAAGTGAGCTTTCTCATAAGGGACTTCTTCCCTTGGAGGCTGAGGATCAGAAACTCTTGAACCATAACTGCTTCGAGGCCATTTCAGCCTTTGCTCGTGGGACCCCAAATCCTCACCGGGATGCCGGTGATCATGACTGTCGTGCCTCAGCGCTCAGGAGTTCAGAGCCTTCACATGCACTTACAACAAGGTCCACTGCTCGGCAGACAACGTCTGGCGGGTTGGACCCGGGCTTTTCTCAGAATCAGGCCTCCCTCAGAGGCTGTCTCCCAGCCCAGGAGGGCAGGGATCTGCCCAGGCATTTGCTTGAGGGCTCAAGTCCGCGGTAACAAGGCGCGGTGATGGGGGGCACCTGCGTCTACCCCGCAGGCGGGGGGTCCCCGAGCCGCGCGGTGCCGCCCGAGAGTACAAGCCGGCGGCAGGGGGGCCGAGCGCTGGGACCCGACGCCGGGAGTCTGGGGGGTGGGCGTCGGGGGTCCGCCGAGCTCACTTACACCCCACGCCCCCCGCACCCCCGCGCGGCCCCTTCCGGGTGAGCCACGCCGCGGCAGCGGGACCCGCGTGGCCGGCCGGGCTCCGCCTGCGCTCGGCTCCGCCGCGGGATGGGCCCCGGTCCGGCTCCCGCTGCTGCCCCCGCGGCCTCGGGCCCCCAGCGGGCCCGGCCTCCGCCCGCGGCTCGGCCCTTCCCCGGGGCCGGGCGCTCACCTCTCCTTGGAGTAGAGCTGCAGCTGCTGCTCGCGCCGCTTCTTCCGGATAAACGCCATGGAGGGAGGGAGGGAGGAAGGGCGGCGCGGGCGGGGCGCGCGCGCGGCTCCGGCTCGGACTCCTCCGCAGCTCCGCTGCGCCGCCGGCCGAGGAAGTCGGGGAGCCGCGGAGGCGGGCCCGGCAGCCGGCCTGCGAGGCCCGGCCGGGAGGGCGCGCCTGCGGCCTGGCGTCCCGAGCGGCGGCGCTGGCGTCCCGGAGCCCACGCTGCGCCCGGCGTCCGGCAGCGCTCACCGCCGCATCCTCTCGGCGTGGGGACTCGGGGCGCCGTGACTCAGGCCGGAGGAGGGGCGCGCAGTCACCCGAGGCACCCCGAGCTCAGCCGCTGGGTGCCTGGGACCCAGAGGCCGGCCTAGGGTCTCTCCTTAGGCCCCAAACGTCCGCTGCTTCACCAGCTACCCCGCAGCTCCGTTTCGCTACTTTACGCTTGAAGACGGAAGACGGCCGGTAACCTCTGCCCATTTGTTGGCCACAGGGGTTCCGAATAACATTTGGGCCTTTTATCTCTTGGTAATTGAAATAATTAGTCACATGACTTTCTTTTTCTTAACAGCTTTATATAACTCACATGCCAAATAATTCAGCTGTTTATAGTGTAGCATTCAATGGTGTTTAGTATATTCACAGATATGTCCAATTATCATTAGAGTTGAAACTAAGCAGGACCCGCGGGGCTGGAGGATCCTGGGTACCAGAGCCTTGTGCTCCTTGTTTTTTGTTTGAAGAAAAAGGCTTTGGTCTCCTAGGCCTTCCCTGCGTTGCAAAGGGCAGATTCACACAGCTACTAATCAGGGAAGTGAGGGATGGCAGAAACAAAGGAATAGCAGTCAAACAATAGCGCTTCTACAAAGCAAAGCCCTGGTTCCTCCTCAAGGGAAACACATTAAGCTAGCTCTGAGCTCAGAATCCTGTAGGAACTAAGGCCCCCAACCAGGTGGAGGGATGGTAACTTCAGGCTGAGCCCAGGGTTCCTGGAGCTCCGCCCTGTGACCTCCACCAACCAATCAGATAAGTCACACACCAAATTTCGCCTATAAAAACTCTTCCCTGAAAGCCACCCAGGGAGTTCAGGTCTTTTGAGCACGGGCCACCGGTTCTTCTCGGCTGGCGCCTGCAGTTAGCCTTTCTCTGCCCCAGACTCTGACGTTTTCAGTTTGCGCGGCCTTACGGTGAGTCAGGCCCGCGAACTTGGGTTTGTCAGCGCAGTTTTGGAACATTTGCACCACCCGAAGAAACCCACCCACCGATACCCTTTAGTTATCCCTGCAAGCCTCCCAACGCCATCAAACGCTAACCAACTTAGTCTCCAGGAATTTGCCTATTCTGGACATCTCATAAAATGCAATTATAGATTATATAGCCTTTTATGTCTGGCTTCTTTCATTTAGCATAATGTCTTCAAGGTTCCTCTCAATACTGTAAACAGATAGGGTTAGGGGGTTCACAGAGAAAGTGAACCAGGCATGGCTTTCTTGACAAAAGCCTAAGCCATTTTGTGATCTAAGCCTGGACATAATGCTTGTCCTTGAACCCGTCTCAGTAATAATGAACTTAAGAGAATCAAAGGACAAACTTATCAGGCAGGAGAAGCAACAACAGCAAAGATAACAAATCAGTTGTAAAGACTCCCAGTTCTATTTCAATGGTAAAGACTAGCCTAAAACACTGCCTTGAGCTGTTTTGCAGAATTTAAATCCCACCTCCGGTGCCCAACCACCAGATCAAGTGGGATCTAAGGGATGACGACGGTGACCTTTTCTGACCCTCGACTTCAATCAACTGAAGATTGGACTCTGCCTACTGCCCAAGCCCCTTCGTGAATATGCATGTACCCATAGCATAGGACTTCCCTAATCTTGTTGTTTGGAGAGACACTGCTTTAGGAAACACCCGCGGTGTTCTCCTTATTCACTGCAAGTCGTAATAAACCCTTTCTTCTCCCAGGCTTTGGCTTGGTTGTGTCTTTGCCTCTAGACCCACCAAGAGGTGAACCCGGTTTTCGGGTAACAGTACGTCATTCCTTTTCATGGCTGAATAATACTCCATTGTATGGATTTACCACATTTTGTTTATCCATTCAGCAGTTGATGAACACTTCAGTTGTTTACACCATTTGGCTATTATGAATAATACTATGAACGTTCACGTACAAGTTTTTGTATGGACATATGTTTTCATTTCTGTTGACTACACACCTAGGAGTTCCATTTCCACCAGCAGTGCATAAGGATTCCAATTTCTTCACATCCTTGGCAACACTTGTTATTGTCTAAGTTTTTGATTATAGCTATCCTAGTGGATGTGAGTTATGACTCCTTAATGTATCCTAAGAATGAGCCTGTGGTTGTTCACCTTTGAGGGATTCTTAAATAACAAACTTTAAGTTGTATATATGCTGACACATACCTAATATTGTCTTACAGACCAGGTTCTGAAGGGTTAAATTTTTAAAGCTTCAAGGTCAATGTGTATTTCAGCTCTCTAGTATGTGGAAAACAATATGCATAAGGTGACCACCATCACAATTTTTTGGAATGAATAAAGGTACACGGGTGCCCTGTGACCTGGATTGAGTCTAATTGAAACCGTGGACCTCATATTAGGACTTGAACCCATGTGCCAGGACTGGAACCCAGCCAAAACCCAAATTGGGACTTGAACCCAGGATCTTTTGAGATCACACGCCTGGTCTCAGGACTTAATGAAGCTCAGGTTCTTTATGTCTCATCACAGAAAGAATTCAGTGAGTGACAAAGTGATGCCTAAGAAGTTAATTTATTCAGAGAGATACACCCTCCACGGACAGAGTGTGGGCCATCTCAGAAGGCAAGAGGGCCCGAAATATGGGCTGGGTAATTTCATAGGCTAATGAATGGGAGGATTGTTCCAACTATTTGGGGGAAGGGGTGGGGTTTTCCAGGAATTGGGCCACTGCCCACTTTTAACCTTTTATGGTCGGCCTCAGAACTGTCATGATGCTGGTGGGTGTGTCATTTACCTTGCTAATGTATTACAATGAGCGTATGAGGCTCGAGGTCTACTGGAAGTTGAATCTTCTGCCTAGTTGGACCTAGTTGGTTCTCACCAATTTTTGTCATGTCCTATGGCTATATCATTCTTTCACAGGTTGTGCCCTGCCCCCTTCCCTCCTGTTTTGTAATGACCAAGTGCTACACAGAATCTACAATGTAAAAAGATGTTGGCAATATTAGCCCAGTGTTCCTATAGGAAATTGTGATGTAGTCAGATAGCCAAGACAAACGTGAGAAGGTACATGATGAAATAAGATAATAAAATTTGCCAAGAGGTACAACATGATAACTTTCTATATGAGAAGTGCTACAATAGATGCTATGAGTTCGGAAGAGAGAATTCACCTTGGCTGGAATAAGGCAGGAAAACAGCATGCAAGTTTTCTCCATTTAGTTAAACGATAAAGGATGATGTGACCCTGGTGGGTGGAGAGTGACAACGATTCTTTCCCTGACCGAACTCTAGCCAAGCCCCTTTGAGCTTTCTTCTCAACTAGGCCTCAGCCTTGGCCTAGAAAAACTACAGACCCTCAGCACAAATGATTTTGCCTACCACCCTCCCGCCACGTTAAAAGACTTGTACAAACACTAACAGCTTCTTTTTTCTTTTTTTAAACAACTATCGTTTTTTTTTTTTTGGCTGCATTGGGTCTTCGTTGCTGCGCACAGGCTTTCTCTAATTGTGGCGAGCGGGGGCGGGCTTCTCTTGTTGTGCAGCACAGGCTCTGGGCGTGTGGGCCTCAGTGGTTGTGGCGCACGGGCTTAGTTGCTCCGTGGCATGTGGGATCATCCTGGACCGGGCTCGAAACCGTGTCCCCTGCATTGGCAGGTGGATTCTTAACCACTGCACCACCAGGGAAGTCCCAACACTAACAGTTTCTGACAGCTCAAGGCCTCATCCCTAAGATGACCCCAACCCCCCTTAAATGCCTGCCTGAGAAAGCAGCAAGGCTGCCCAAAGAATTTACTGTTTGTTATAGCCAACACCTGACATGGGCCCCGGCTGCTGTTTCTTAGGGCATTTACTAAAAAGGGCTTACAGCTGAATTCTTTCGCTGAACCCTTGAGATGTATTTGTATCTCTTACAACCCAGGAGTGCCTTTCTCAAGGACTTGAATGCCATTCCTTTGAAATACAATCATCAGGAAGGACAGGGCTTCTGTGTCCTGGTCTCCTGGGAAGATAACTGGTAGCCAGCAGATGGAGACACGGCATTTACACACACTTTCTGTGATTTTGCACTTCCCAGCCTTATCTTCGACAAGAGAAGGGGAGGAAACTCACTCAAAAGGATTTTCTTGAACAACAGCTCGGAAGGATACGCCTCTGCTGTCACAGAGTGTGTGTTTGTGGAGAACTAAGGGAGAACTGAGGTGGGAGCTCCCTCACCCTCCCACCCAAAATCACCAGTCCCCGGCATCTGCTCCCTTCTCTTCATTCCTGCTCTTTCGAAGTATATTTGCTCCCATCAAAGGCAAACTTCTCCTTCCCACTCAACAACTCAGCCTTTGTAATTATCCTTTCTCTCTCCCCTCTTTCTCTCTCTTGCTTTGTCTATTTCTCCCTCACTTTTGAGCCATTCCCATCTGAATATAAATATAGTCTTCTTTTTATATATATATTTTTATTTATTTGGCTGTGCCGGGTCTTAGTTGCGGCACGCGGGATCTAGTTCCCTGACCAGGGATCGAACCCGGGCCCCCTGCATTGGGAGCACAGAGTCTTACCCACTGGACCGCCAGGGAAGTCCCTAAATATAGTTTTCAAAAAATGTTCCCTTTATCCCACATCTCCCTCCATCTCCCCATCCTCAGTGAAACTTCTTGAAACATCTGCCTCCCATGCTGTCTCCATTTTCTCTCCCTGCCTGCTCGTCGATCCATCCCACTTGGACTTCTGGTTCCACTCTGATGCTTCTTGTAAGTTCACCACATTCACTGGTCACTTCTCCACCCTCGACTCTTCTGAACTTTCTGCAGAATTCAGCGCCATTGTACATGGCCTTCAACACAGCTCTTCCCCCTTTACTTCCGAGACCCCACAGTTTCCTTGCTTTCCTCCTACCTTGCTTCTTCCTCTTTCTCAGTCTCCTTGGTTGGTTTCTCTCCTGCATGACTTCTTAATGTTAAGTCTCTGTACTCACAGTACAGGTCATTCCAACGAGTGCCGTGACTGGGTGGCGGGCGAGGGGAGGATAACATCTTCCGTTTGTGTGTGTGTGAATTAAATTTAGTAGCACATTTTC